AAAAAGCAGCTGGCAATGATATCAAAAAGCCTGGACTTTAATTTATCGTGGGGAATGGTTGTGTATAAAGTTGAAAAGTCGTAAGTTTTTGGCTGTTGATTTTCGTAAATTCTTGTGATTTCAAATTGTCCAAAAGTTTTTAGAAATTTTTTAGTATCCACATCTGATTCACACCACTTCTTGAATATATTGTTGCTCAGTACTCTTGAAGTTTTTCATTCACAACTGTCAATATCTTAGTGAGGAGTAACGAAAGAGGCTTGGTTGAACATTTACTGGAACCATCAAGTAGTTTTGTTCTCTTGTATAAGGTTTTCAACTGTGCTTTATATTTATACTAAAATGTGTCTACTAAAGACAAAGTGCAATTTGACGCATGGGAATTCCAACAGACTTTTCAACTGAAAAAGTTGATCTCAAAAAACTAAAAAGATGCAATCAACCAAATTTTGAATTTTGAAGAATTTGAGTATACAAACGTATGCTTTTTAGCGAAATAATTTTGGGAATATCTGCCCGCTTCATGCAAATTAGTTTTGTAGATATCAACATGCAAACAAATTGTGATGAAATTCGAGTTTCTAATTCTTTTTTAATATCGTATTTGAACCTTAGTTATATTACTGACTGCCACAATTACATGTATATTAAATCATACTTGTAATCAAAGCAAATCAAATCATGTGGAAATAATGCATGTTACTAATTTTTGGAAATATATTAGATACTAATGTAGACAGGCGACTTTTATCAATGTTAATATGCAAGATAATAATGTTAATACGTGAGTTAATATTTCCGTATGTCTGTTGACAGGCAACTTATTTACTTCCATGTTGACATAAATTTCTTGTTTATATGTAAAAATATAAGTTGCACGTTGACATAAATAAGTGTAAGCCAATGACGACTCTTTTGTCGATTTCCAAAGTTTATTAAATTAATCCAGTTTACAATTTTCCGTGATCATATAGTTTTAGAAATATTCGTTCCTGAAATATGATCAGAAAAGACCAATACACTTTTTATATAGATATTCAAAGGGTCCGTCCAAAATATAAAGAGTTGAAGACCGAACTCCAAATAAATAAATAAACAAAATGTCCAAAAGAATGATTCCCAAAGATAGAATAAGTGAGAGTTGATAATTTAGTAAAACCGTGAATAAGAACGGGAATGAAAAAAATACTTTTGCTGACCAAAACAGGGTATTTTGTGCTCAGTGGGTATCCATGATTATATAAAAATACATTTCATTGGCTAATTCACCATCACCAACCACCTACGCTTTGTCTGTAGGTCTGTCCGTTGACCTATGAACCCCAACATGGCACCACCCTCAAATGTAGGTAAATACATGTTACTAATATTTATGGGATTTCAATCTCTGCACCACAGGAGTTCTTTAAGCTCTTTTACTTACTTACTTCAAAGTTCCCAATTTTATTGCTCTTAGTCAAAACTATTAATAATACCATTGTATTTCCGTTCAAATTTTATTACTTACTATCGATGGGCTTGATTGGTCTATTCGGATCAATTTCATTACAAAATAATCTACCAAATTATAGTGCATTTGAACAACAACAGATTCCAATTTGTTTTGACAAAATGATAATTGTTTACAAAATAAAAGTCCTTTTTCCAGTTATAAAGTCACCGAATCTGCGTCACTAATAATATACATTCTGACTTAATAAACCTTTATATCAATTTATTTTAACTGCTAAAAACTAAAACTGATTATGTTATTGATATTGTGTAAGTTTAAAATGTTCACACAATATGTCTGTGCTAAACCCTATAGGTTTACATTCGTCCCCACACACTAAGAAATTTCCCTGACCAGTGGAAATTTCTCCATACAAACATAATTTTAAACTTAGTCACAGTTTATTTCGTTCACAAGGTAAGAAGTAATCCCGTGACACTGTTCACTTTTTATTAAACAAAATCCACAGTCTTCGAAGATAATTTAGTCACGATTGTTTATTGTTAATTGCATACGGTAGTCGCACAGCATAGGAAATTCGCGGACGTCTTCTTCTTGTTTCCGAAATAAAGTCCAATATATACGATTACATTGATTATATAGGTCCATTATATGTGTCCAATATATGTTCACCTAACAACTCTGTGTGGATATATGGTTTTACTACTGTTCACTACTGGCGCCTTCACTACTCCTCGCTAAACTTGTTCGCTTTGGAATCAATGTTCTCATTCTACACTTAGGTATAGGTCAAAATTTAGTTATATTCCACACTAATATAAGTAACATAGGTCACAGTGTTACTTTTGAAGTTCACGCAGCGGATGCAGTCCTGGTGATTTAGTAGATGACGGAGTGCAATTATCACCACTCCAGACGGTAGCATCGTCCTTCAAATTAGAAGCCATCAGTGTATCCCGTACTTTTAATTTTTAAATTTGAGTCCAAAAGTTAAGTCCGAATAGATAGGTTTCATTCTCCAACGGCAAAATTTGTAATTGACTTACTAATTGTTGGTACATCCGTTCAAAAGTACAACACAAATCAGTAATATCATTAGTCTCCAACGTTTTCTTCATCTGTAAGCATCTCCAAATGACTGCTATCACCTGTCGTATTCCTCATTTCCACGACTTCTTGTGATATCCACAGTCGGTATACTCAAAAACATAAACACGGTACTATCCTTTTCACAATCGCATCCTCACAGCGAATTTAACTCAGGATCAGTACAAACACTTATGACGGCCCATTAACACTGGGTCAGACGTAATCACCGTCCTTGGTATCAGACCAACGTCATATTTTAAAATAAATGCCTCAAATTTAGTCCACGATAAATTCCAACGTATTGTTTGATTCAGTGTTGCACTTTTCTCGAGATTTCAAAACTTCAAAATAAGTCTAGTCAATTTTCAAATTCACTGTTTAAAAAATGTGACAATAAATCTGACGTGAACTTCATGACCATTTTCTCTTGCCTGTCAGTTACAAGATATTGCTTAATTATTTCTCTTTTCTTTTATTAACAACATTGATTAGAAGCGAACTACCATCATTACATATGTACAATATGATTAAATACTTTCACTGTGCTTTAAAATTCAATTTCATCATACTGAATTTTTTTTTTATTTTCCCAACATTATTTACCTTTTATTCTTGGTAATAAGGAATCAACACTACGTGATAAAAAGTTTTACTTTAAAAAAAAATCAAATATTCCCTACATATTTCAAAACTATTGCCAAATAAGTTATAAACATAATTTAAAAGAAACCAAAAGTTATAAGCCAAAAATATTTCCAAAAAAATCAAATTAAAAAAATCAAAACATGGTCAGGCTACAGATACTTCTGGGTCAGAAATTTACGTCCTACCTTGCCACATATTCCCTCGCCTTGGTAGTAAGTAGCGAATTGACATGGTAATATTTTTCCATTCCTGGTTCCCAGCATTAATTTAATTCACAGTCCTTTTTCAGTCTTGATGACAAATGTTAAAATTGATTATCAGTACTTCGCAAATCCTGGTCACGGCACCAAATTGACTTGTACGATGTAAGCCAATGACGACTCTTTTGTCGATTTCCAAAGTTTATTAAATTAATCCAATTTACAATTTTCCGTGATCATATAGTTTTAGAAATATTCGTTCCTGAAATATGATCAGAAAAGACCAATACACTTTTTATACAGATATTCAAAGGGTCCGTCCAAAATATAAAGAGTTTAAGACCGAACTCCAAATAAATAAATAAACAAAATGTCCAAAAGAATGATTCCCAAAGATAGAATAAGTGAGAGTTGATAATTTAGGAATAAAACCGGGAATAAGAACGGGAATGAAAACGGGAATACTTTTTTCTGACCAAAACAGGGTATTTTGTGCTCAGTGGGTATCCATGATCCCGGATATAAAAATACATTTCATTGGCTAATTCACCATCACCAACCACCTACGCTTTGTCCGTAGGTCTGTCCGTTGACCTATGAACCCCAACATAGCACCACCCTCAAATGTAGGTAAATACATGTTACTTATATTTATGGGCTCAGTCTCCATCTCTGCACCACAGGAGTTCTAGCCTTAAGTTCTTTTACTTACTTACTTCAAAGTTCCCAATTTTATTGCTCTTAGTCAAAACTCTTAATAATACCATTGTATTTCCGTTCAAATTTTATTACTTACTATCGATGGGCTTGATTGGTCTATTCGGATCAATTTCATTACAAAATGATCTACCAAATTATAGTGCATTTGAACAACAACAGAATCCAATTTGTTTTGACAAAATGATAATTGTTTACAAAATAAAAGTCCTTTTTCCAATCATAAAGTCACCGAATCTGCGTCACTAATAATATACATTCTGACTTAATAAACCTTTATATCAATTTATTTTAACTGCTAAAAACTAAAACTGATTATGTTATTGATATTGTCTAAGTTTAAAATGTTCACACAATATGTCTGTGCTAAACCCTATAGGTTTACATAAGTCCCATGTTGAAATTAATATATTTCATGTTGAAATATTCATCTTGGATGTTACCGTAAGTAAGTTGTATGTCAACATGATTGTGTTGCTTGTTAACATAAATAATCTTGCATGTTAACATAGATACGTCACATGTCAGGACAATTCTGTTGCATTTAGCTATTTTGTTGTTTAACAGCGATAGTAAGTATACAAAATTTTAAATTAGATTCCCTAAAAATATTGGATTGTAATTCAACATAACTATTACTCATAAATGAAAAAGTATCTTTCATATTGACATATCTTTCTCACATGTTAAGATAATTACTTTTGCATGTATGCCACCATAGAAATGACCAAAATCAAGAAATATATAATTACGCATATCATTTTATTGAAAAAGTAAATGTCTTTTTTAATGATGTCAATAAGACTGAAATTTATGGTTTAGATTGATTGCACAAAGCTTTGAAAAGTTCTTCTTTGAAACAAAATAAATTTTTGTAAATCAATTATTCTCTGTCATTAGCATGTCATTCGAATATTATCCACTGAATGCATTGTAGATGAACAAAGGAATAGTTTAGTATATCTTCCAGCCGGAGAACGAAGTCCAGTTTTCTCTGGCATAAGCTGCCAGGTACCCAGAAGCAAATCGACCCTGTCTCCCTTCTTCAGACGAACAAAAATCGTGTTCGAACCGCTACTCCAAACACTCTGTGAAGTGTGTGAATTGTTAAATGCTGTAAATCCTTTGTAATGACCATTAACTCTCAGGTAAGGGTGGGCTGTTTTACGTGGATATGTCAGTGTGGACCAGGTGAAGGCATATGTTCCACCAGAAGGTGCTATAAATGTGCCTGTTGCCTTGTTGTATGCATTGCCTTCATTTAAAAGAACTTCATCAAAGATCCATGTTTCGTGTAGTTTGTAACTTTTAGCTTTAGACTGATAAGCTGAAAACGCAACATGGTCTGAAACAAATAAGTAAAATCAACAGATAAATGTTTATCATTTTCTTAGCAGAGATTCGATTCTCTGGTCTGTACAACTTCTAAATGAATAATAACTTTAAAAAAAAGATGTTTTCAATCCGCAAATTTATCACAATCTTCCTCGATACTTATGTTTTTCATTCATCTTTCACACAATTATAAAAATACTACATGTAATGTGTATCACTGAAGATTATTATGGTTTTAGGACAAGATTATCTTCCAAATAGAAATAAAAAAGAGAACATAGTGCATTAGTATTTTTTGACTATATTATAATCTGAGCCCCCCTTTTTAGTTCTCTTTGATAATATCAACGCAATCTTTAGAAATCAGGGTTTCAAACCATCTCACGAGTTCGATCACTGTTCATAACCTATTCTTTTCATTCGTTTACATTTTTATCTCGGTTGACATGATATAAGAACATATTTTTGTTGATTAACTCCTGAAAATATTTAATCGCTACTTAAGTAGAAGTACTAGTTTTCTACGAAAGCCCAGAAGGCTCATTCGAGATTCGAGTTTCGGAATACGAGATTCGAAATTCGAGATTCAAAATTCGAGTTTCGAGATTCAAGATCCAGACTAACCAATCAAAAGCGGGTTCAACATTTGATTACTCCCCTTTATTATGTTTTTACTATCAAGAAATCGTTTAATATAATTATTACAAATGGGTCATTTGATTAGGGACTGTAAGCTCGTAAACGAGAGCGCGCGAGATTTGAATACTTCCGGTGACAAACAAAATGGTGATATGCTTTGCGTTTGGATGTAGTCACCGAAGTGGTGCGAATAATTGTAGTTTTTATCGGTTTCCCACAGATGCAAAGAAAAGGACATTATGGGGAAGATTGTGCAGGTCAGTTTTATGCATTTTTAAAATTTAATAAGCCTGTATTAAACGGAATATCCGTCTGCAGCACATGACTTACAGTTTGCATGCGCCCCGATTACCAAGCTCTATTCCTAGAGTTGAGTAGTGACACTTAATGATAAGTTTATGATTTTTATTCTTTCACATTAAAGTATATACCCGTATCTGCACTGTACAAATGTCTGCAGAGAACTATCATACTATAGGTTGTACATGCCAACACAAATATTAATCCGAGATTCCTCAGACTGACTGTGACGTGATTACGATTAACTGATTAACAGATTAATATCAAAACAGTCAAAATACTGAAGCAAATCACAGAGATACTGATGTGTACATGAAAATTAAGTCAATAAGCACCTATATATATAGAGTAACATATATTGAAATAAGATGAGATTTATCAAAAAATCAGGGTCCTGTGGGCATTAACATGTGCATGTATATAAATAATTAATCCACTTCTGTTCAAGGCAGAGTATACAACAAGCATATTAACAACATGCATGTTTTGATGTATATACCTGTATATTTCTACTCTAAAACTATACATTTATACAAACAATCCTTTGATTTATTTAGAAGAGCTGATCGACAGCCAGAGAATCAAAATGACAGAGTATGTTCTTGCCATTTTAAGGAGGGAAGAAAGGAAGGAGACCCTGTCTACTTTCCTTGGAATGATAAAAAGTATATGGACTATCAGGATCCCGAAAAGTCAGAGAGGTGAGAGAGAACTTATATGGACATGTAATAAATTTTATTCCAGTCACAAATTATAAATATTTTTTTTATTTCATATAGTTTAAATTAGAGCATGAACCTTTTTGGACAAAAACATGTTACCGGTAAATGTAATGCATTTATTGAATATTTATTATTTATAGGAAAAGGAGAAAAACATGTTTGTCCCCGCCCTGTGACGTCGATAAAACAAGTCAGTCCTTATCCTTTGAGAGAGAGCAGACAGAAGATGCAGTAGATTTTGATGATGTACAACATGTAATATTATATCAATAACCTTTTTAGAAGTGTTTTTAAAATACACATGTATATAATTAAAATACTTGACTGTAATAAAAAATGAGATTATAAATGTACATGTATATATTTTAAGGTTGAAGTAGAACACAGTTATACAGTCTCCTGCTCTCGAAACTGTTCCAAAGAAATGCAGCGGCTCTCATCAGAGATAAAAAAGTTGGAAGAAGAGTTGCGTGCAATAAAAGTCAACATGGATAAAAGAAAACCCATGACTGTAGCAGAAATTAAGGACAATGAAGAAAAGGTAACATTGTTGATGAGGTAAAATGAAATTAAGGTACTGGGTATTTAAAAAAAAATTAGAGTACTTTTATTGTGAAATTTATGACAATTCTTTTCTTTACAGATGCTGCTTTATACTTCAGTACAATACGATGTCTTTGAAGTGCTTGTAAAACTACTTGGTCGATTCAGTTTAAATTACTTTCTTGGTTGGACACCATCCCTTAAACTTGAAGATCAACTTTTGATTGTTTTCATGAAGCTTAAACTAAACCTTAGAGACATTGACTTAGCTCACAGGTATATACTGGTAGTTAATCTTTTATCTGAATAAATCAAAATCACAGTTTTCTGATCATGCAATTTATGACATTTCTTTTTTTTTCAAAGATTTTTTTTTTTGATTCGGGGAAATATATTTTGATAACATGATATATTTTGATTTGCCTTATTCAACAGGTTTTGTGTAAGCAGGCCAACAATTTCTAATATTTTCCACTCACTGGTTCATGCCCTTCATGAAATGCTGTACAAGGGGGTTGTTGATACATGTTTTCCTAGTCAACTAAAATGTAAAGGTTTGTATGTTGTGTTATAGTATGCAAATGATTGATGTAATTGTATATACTTCACCACTCAATTTTTCTCTTCCATATCCTCCATCTTAAACTACTTGTGCACACATTATTTAATATAAAAAATAAAACTGTTCGCTGACTTGAGCAGAATGTTGTGGCTTAAATATAAGAATATTTATAATATAATATAATATAATATGATATGATATAAGAATATTTATAATACAACTGAGATGAAGAGAATAATACATGCGTTTGTCAGTTGAGCTGTAAATTATCACGATTATAGCATGAAATTAATGTTCCCCCCATTTTTCATTTAGGCTCCATGCCAAAGGCATTTGCAGAATTCTCTTCTGCAAGGGCATCTATGGATGCCATTGAGACAACACAGGATATACCTGGACACCTTGACACACAGGCCATGGCATACAGTTCATATAAGAGCCGTCACACAGTCAAAGCAGTCACTTGTGTTGCACCAAATGGTGCAATCACTTACTGCTCTCCTTTATATCCGGGATCAACATCTGATGTTGCAATTGTGCGTCACAGCAAAATTCTTGAGAAGTTTAAGCCCGGGGACCTGATATTAGCCGACAAGGGATTTACAATCCACGATCAGTTACCACAAGGTGTGTGTTTGAATATTCCAGCATTTTTATCTTCAAGAGGGCAGTTTACGAAGAAAGAAGCAGAATTGTGTTATAAAATAGCCAGAGCAAGAATTCACGTGGAGAGAGCTAATGAGAGAATTAAAAACTTTGAAATACTTCGCCACATACCAGCAACCTACAGGCCATTATCAACAAAGATATTTCAACTGTGTTCTGCATTAGTCAATTTGCAAGCTCCTCTTTTGAAAGAAATTTCATAGTACATTATATATTTATAATGTAATGATAATTTTGATTCAACTTCAGTATTGTTCATGGATGTAGAATGATGTACACAGTCATAGTCTATCATATTGATTTTTGCAAATCTTACAATGAGACCTCTAACATACTGTCTTAAAATTCTGTAGATTTAGCATGTACAAAATTTGGCAGATAATTTTTCAACATGTTTGTTGTAGATCTGATTCAATGCATTTCTGTATGTGTATATTCATAGATATCTGCAGTTCTGCACAACTATGTTCTTGATTTAGTAGTGGCTACATAATGCCAAAAGACTTAAATTGAAGACATACTAGAAGTAATACATTTACAATATATACTTGTGCATATAATAAATAATTGAAAAACAATCTACACAGTGAGTAAAATTTTATTTCTACATTGAGAAAATTATATTGTATAATATACTAAGCCCAATTTCAACACAGGTTACTTGGCATTTACCCTCAGGAAAAATTTTAAAGACAAGTACTGTTGAACAGAAATCATTGTTTACATTGGTAGGGTCAATACATGTAGAGTTCAATTTATCATACTCTATTAAAACTTTATTAATGTTAGGATTGATTACAAATCAAATAGTGCATTGCATATTTTCATTCATTTAATTTTAAATCTTCATTCATTCACAGTAATTTTAAATCCTGGGACAGATTACTCAATCTTTTTATAAAAATATAACTTATTCAGAAGTCTTTAGTGTGAAGTGTCAATAGGGTTCTTCACCTTTGATTGCTCTTGATTATTGCAGATATTATTTCAACACATTAATTTTTGATTAATTCAGGAATGAAAGTATTAAAATAAAATTCTATCAATTGTGCAATGTTTTTTGTCCATCCAGAGTCCTTGACAATCCGGATAACTTTGCAGTCCTTAGTAGTCCAAACAATCAGGTCACAGCAGGTCTTGTTGCATAAATGTAGTTGGCCTTGTATCTGGTGATAATAAGGATGGTTGGACTTGAGGTAGTAAGAGTCCTCTCTGTACTCTAAATGCAACAACACAACTTGAATTTATAAAATTTACTAAAAGAAAAACAAATTAGTAATAACTGGAATTAAAGGGGTCAGAAAACAATAGAATAGACAAAAATCATATACAGGACCAATCTTGTTATCTGGAAAAGACTTGAGTTGAGATACCAAGTTTGACTTCATATTGAAAAGACAATGAGAAACAGATGTTTCACACAGTTTAATATACCAATTTAACTCACAAAAAAAGTTAAATATATTGTTACCGTATTTGTTAAATACGCTTGATGTAAAATAAAGCCTGAAACTTGGATGTATTATACGCAACAGAAAAATTTACCAAGCGATGTTCTGAACTATGAAAACCACGTAATTTGTTACGAAAATCGGCGCGAGGATAGGTGTCAAAAATTTACAACACACTTTTTTTAAATCACACTTTAAATTTTTCTTAATGACATTCCGTACAAATGCTTTTGCAATAAGAATAGTTACGGATTTTGAAATTATGCGTCTTGCAACAAAGCAAGAGATATTGTCGAAAGTTTAACAGTTGTCATTTAATCATGCTTAAAATTATCTTACAAATTTTAACCGGAAACGAAATTGAAACATCAAAGTATTTATTTCTTTCACACAGTTTTATTATATCCACTTTTTATTAGTTTTACATATATATTTCAAGTAACTCTCAATTATTTAAACAAGAGGCCAATACATTTAACAAGTCTTTAATTGTTTGTGCACTGCCTCATATATTGTTAAATGTGCATGCAGTAAATAATCAGTGACAACTGTAAAAACATTTGGAGTCAACTACTTCAGGTAAAGGTAATTCATGACCAGCGCACGTGTGTCTTGGCTTTCACACAGTTATTTTAAACCTAAAATTAATATTTATTTTATTTCATTAAAAAATGATTTATTACTTTGTCTGGCAGATATACCAATTCCGAAGCCAAACTTAGTGCGTCTAAAAATAATATCGGTAAGTACATGCAGCCAAATTACCTTTAACTCATGTAATAAAATCAAATTTATAGAAAAAATATGAAAACAAATGTTGCACTGCCCGTCATATATTGTGAGTTAAAGAAATGTGCTGCAGAGTAGGGACACTTCACTTCAACTACTTCAGGTATAGCATTCTGAGCTTCTGGTGTCTGGAAATTAACATCACATCTTGGTGGGTGCAGGACAAGACCATCTGGAGATGCGCCTAAAACTCCAGACTCATGCAGCCAAATTCCTTTATTAAAATAAAATGCAAATTTATAGAAAAGAAAAAATAATATTGCAGTGTTTGTACTAAGTAAATAGATAGTTATCTAAGAATGTTGAATTTTCAATGACATTTTTGGTAAAAATAATTATTGAAAATGGTACCATGGTCAATGACAAATACTGCTGATTAATTTGGATGAAATAATTAACAAAAGAAATTTACCCGTTTGTTGCACAGAGGCACCAAAGTCATGTTCATATTTTTTCAATGCGTCTTCTTCATGTGTTATTCCCCAAGCAACTGCTTTGATTGATTCCAAATTGTATGAGGACATCAGACGTTTCTTGAGAGAAATTGTAATTCTGCAAAGATAAATGCTGGCATTTTAGCTTTGGTTGTTGTAAGCATCACATCATTATTAAATATAACAAATAAATGATAACTAATGCTAACTACAAGCATCATGCTCTATATGGAGTTTTTAATTTTTGTCCACATAAACTTACCGTCTTCTATTTGTACTAAGCACTGCTCCAAAATTGGATGCTGTTATCCTGTTCTTTCTGATGATTGACCACATAGGATTCTTTCTTTGACCCTTGGTTGCCAATGCTGTATTAGCTATGATATCCTCAGACAAAATCAAAGCTCGTCTTAACCATACCATTGGCGTATCAGAATGGATAAATTCTGGACTCGTCAATAGATCTTCTATGACAGGGGCAGGAGGTCCTGGCTCACATGGTTCTGGCTGAAGAATCCATTCCATAGCTAAAATACATACATAAACATCTTTTTAAAAAATATTTGCATCTACAGTTACACATTTATAAAAAGTTTCTTTTTAATAAAAAAAAAATCACAATAGTAAAATCTATATCTGTTTGTTTCAATAATACAGCATTTTCTGCATTTAATAAATTCTGTAAAAAAAACTGTCAAGACATTAATTGTACACATCATATAAACAACAAAAACTTAATACGAACTAAATATGTGACAATATTTTTTAAAAATCCAAATGCAAGTAATTTCCTTAAGGAAAATGAAATGAAGGATGAACTGAAAAAAAAAATAATAAATCAGAATACAGATTAGTAAAACATATTTCGCAAATTGGCAACATCCGGTTAAAATACCAATAAATCTGCCTAGTTTTGATAATTCTTGTTGAAAGAAACTTCTGTCGCCATCATCAAATGGTCTGCCTAGTGCACTTTAAATTCAAGAAAAATTGGTTCTTCTTTAAACACAAGTGATTAAATTATTTTTTTCTTCAATGTTTTGAACATTTTATTTCATACTTACTGATAATCAGGTTGAGATGGTGGAAATAATTCTTCCATTGTTTTAGTGTCAGTTTTCATGGCCGTCTTTGGATTTTTCAGCCATCCGCATTTCACGTCAGTTTTGCTGACACACTTGTACCTTGTAATTTGAATAACTCACAATTGATAGCATGTCAGATTTGTTTCTAAAATTTTTTCATGTTAACATGGTTAATGCATTAATCATTATGTAGCAAACACAGTCCATTCAAAATTCGATGCATTTAAATTTCATGCTATGTTTATCATCTTCTTTCAAGTCACAATTGATGAAACCTCTTTAAATCTTATAAACTCATTGAGTCAGTCTCAAATTATAATGTTGTGTACATAAAGCTTACCCATACAGCAATGCTGCTGCAACATGGTGGCAGACATATTGTCCTAAAGGACACTCACATGTTGATGAAGAAACAGCATAGCCATCGTTCAGAATTGCCTATCAATATAAAATACGGGTTATATGTGGCAATAAACCCCCATCCCACCCTACCCCCCCCCCCCCCAAACACACACAAAATTTCTTGAATTATAGCTACATACAGTCATTGATTACTAAAATTACTTGAATCAAAAGAATGGGGCTTCATTTAAAAAAATATTTGAAAAAATTCTGGAAAGCAACAAATACGAATGAGGCTACTATACAAATAAAAAAAATCACAAAAGGACAATCTCCTTACTGTTACTTTGTAAGACTTGTTCTTCATTGACGCTTGCACAACAGCATTGACAACGTTTTCCTCGTTGTCGTAGAGGAACTTCAACACATGGTTACTATACACAGCGTTCTCCGATTTTCTCATAAGCTTCGGTTTGTCTGTGGTATAGTTCGCCCAGTACTGAATTGATATCGCCATTTGTTTGTTTGTCACCGGAAGCGCTTCACCGGAAGTAACAAAAAACGAGACTTACAGCCCCTATATAATTAAAATTTCTGAAAAAAATGTCCTTAAAGCCCTGGCGTTGAATATCGGGGGGGGGGGGGGGGGGGGGGATCCTGTCCACAAGTACTTGTGGTTTTCCTAATAGAAGTAATACATAAAAATTAAGTTTAGTAGACAATACAAAAAATATATATATACTCCTGATATATTTAATCTGTTTAATGTTTAAGAAGCTATAATATAAATTGAAGTATATCTTGCTTAGCAAAAAATCCAATCTTTATTTAAATTTACTTCTTATATATATTACACTCTTTCTTGCATTGTAATTTAATCAAATGACCCATTTGTTATAATTATATTAAACGATTTCTTGTAAGTAAAAACATAATTAAGGGAAGTAATCAAATGTTGAACCCGCTTTTGATTGGTTAGTATGGATCTTGAATCTCGAAACTCGAATTTTGAATCTCGAATTTCGAATCTCGTATTTCGAAACTCGAATCTCGAATGTTGAACCCGCTTTTGATTGGTTAG